TCTAGACACACACTTAATGAATTTGAAATCTTATGGTTTGCTCAGTACACATTCTATCCTACCAAAAATACCCTCATCTTCTTCATCATTCAAACCGCAACCCTAACCCCCTAATCCTTATTTTCTTCATTCATCAGCGGCCAACCACCACCTCCTCTGTCGAAAAATTGTATCGCCACATCCACTCATCCTTGTACCATCGTCAGTTGCCATTACCAATACATTTACTCCACGACACCTAGTTTCACTATCCACTATTTCTTTATAAACCCTAGGAACCATGACCTCCATATTTACACCACCCTATCTGTCATGAATATGGAGTTTTTTCGTGAAAAATATGGGGTCTTTTCGTGAAGAGGTTAAGGAGAATGACATTGAATACAAAGTTAGAAAAGATGGTGCTACAAAAAAAGTAATCGAGGTCACCGCCAAAGGAGAGGTGGGGAATTACGGCTTAGGAATTAAGGTTCTAAATGAAGAAGATAAGGTTATTTTAATAATTTTATTTTTGGACAAAATTGTAATAAAAAAAATTCATTAAGTGTGTGCACAAAGAGTGTATAGTATGTGAAAATAGAATTATCCCTTCCTGTTACATGATATTCACTTTTGACCATTAAATACATGGGTAAATTATACTTACACCTCTTGGGATTTGAATTTAATATATATAACTCCTTAATGTTTGAAAAATTACACAGACATTGTAATTATTTAAACAGAATTAACATTGGTACCAAAAAGACATTTAATTTATACACACTTTCTTCTTCTTCTTTTCTTTCTTTATTTTCTTTTACTTTACTTTTTTTTTTTCCAATGTAATTTCCTTCATTTTTTTATCAGAAGTTGTTGCTTTTTATATAAATAAGGGTTTGTAAAATGAGACTATTAACCACAAGGATAAGAATGTAATTTCTATAACATTAGAGGATAGAATGTAATTGGATCAAATCTCAGGACGTGTCAGTGTAATTTACCTTAAATACTTTAAAAATATGCAGCGGATAAAATGTTTAGATCATACCTCTTTGATGATAGAACCTCGTGGATAAATCACGTGCTTCCAGAGTCTGATAAACCAACCCAGCAGTGAAGTGATATCACAGATTGAATATCACCCACATAAATCACAGTGCAAATGACTTGATCGTTGTTTTTTGGGAGAGAGTCAGTATATGGTTAGAAACAGATCATACGTTGTTTCTCTCTTGATTACCCATAACCATATATCAGATATATAATATATTATTATATCTATCCATATCAGTTAAAACTGATAATATCTGTATCTTGAGTGGTTATCCTAAATAGGTTTGATTTCAAATTCAAAACCTATTTGGATAAGGATTCAAATTCAAATTTAATGGTCATGCCACATGGGCGCCCATTACTAACAATGCCGTTAGCACCTTGACTAGATTCCGATGTCTGATGTTTCTCAAGGCCTCACACTCGGATATGAAACTCTTGGAAGCTCCTCGACGTGAAAGGTTAAGTACCTTCACAGCAACAATTCTTCCATCAAGAACTCCCTTGTACACAGACCCAAAACTACCAATGCCAATTAAATTGAATGATGAGAACCCATCAGTGGCTTTAACAAGATTTTGATAAGACGCCTTCAAGAGTGAATTGTCTGATGAGTCTAAAGGAGTTTCTTTTCTTGTCTTTCTAAAGCAACAAAGATACAAAATACACCCCACCAGAGCTAGTCCTAGAAGCCCAAATGGAATAGAGAGTGCTAAAATTAAGGCAGTGTTTGGTCTCCATTTTTTATCCACTTTAAAGTTGCATTTAGGAAGCTGCAATTCAGCTACACCCCCACAGAGCTTACTGTTTCCCACCACTGATATTGCACTTGTATTACTAAAAACACCTTGTGTTGGGACTACACCTTCAAAATTATTGAAAGACAGATTCAAATCTTGCAACAACCTAAAACCCTCCAAAAACACTGGAATTTCACCGGACAAGTTATTGTTTGCGAGATCCAACTCTCGAATGCCTCTCAAGAAACTCAAAGAAGAAGGAATGGTTCTGTTAAAAAAGTTAGTCCCCAAACGCAGTGTTTCCAAGCTTGTACAGCTGCCTAGAGTGCTCGGAATTTCACCAGATAACAAGTTGTGCGAGACATCCAAGGAACCGAGATTTACCAAATTTCCAACTTCCATGGGAAGAGAACCACTTAGTTGGTTTTGGGATAGGTCTAGATATATAGATAAGGATGAGATAGAAACAACTTGTTTTGGTATGGTACCATTAAGGTTGTTTTGAGAAAGAAACAACTTTTGCAAATTACTACAATTCCCTAGGCTCGGAGGAATGTTTCCCTGAAAATTATTTAGTCCTAAAACAAGTTTACTTAACAAACTCAGATTTCCTAGGGAAGATGGAATGTTACCAGACAATGAATTGTTGAGGAGATTCAATTCCTGCAGATTTGGAAGCATTCCAATCCCACTTGGAATAGTACTGGTGAGTTGATTAACCTGCATATACAAACTCTGCAAGCCAACATGATTTACAATCCCGGGTGGAATGCTTCCGAATATCTGATTGTTGTCTAAACTCAAAAGTTTAAGATTGCTCGAGAGATTACCGATGGATTCTGGAATCTTGCAGCGAAAATTGTTTAGGCCCACGTTCAAATACTGTAAATTTGTAGCATTGATCAAAGAGTAGATAAAGTTCAAGTCATCAGCTTCCCTGCAACCAAGCTGATTGTCCCCCATGGTTAGCCACTTGAGGTTTTGCAGACTTGCTAAATTAGGAACCTTTCCATTAAGATTGTTTTGATCCAATTCGAGTTCATAAAGTTTAGGTGCATTCAATATTGAAACTGGAATTGATCCAGTAAATTGGTTTCCAGCAATGCCGAAGAATTCAAGATTGGGAAGAGTGATTCCCAAGTCCCAGGGAAGACTTCCCTGAATTTGGTTAACAATGACAGTAAAACTTGTGAGAGAAGAGTGGTTGAAGAGCGACGCAGGGATGACGCCGGACAACCTGTTTATGCCGAGTGCGAGTATCTGAAGATTCTTCAATCGCTCAAAACCATCAGGAAAGCTGCCGTCAAAGTAGTTACTCTCTAAAAACAGGTTGCGAAGAGATGACAAATTCGTGAAAGGAGAGATACCCCCTCTAAGATTGTTGGCCTCTATATTTACTATTGCGAGCTTCGACAAGGATCCCAGCTCCACGGGAACTTCTCCTACCAATCCATTGTCTGAAAAATTGATGTAAATGAGGTTAGCACAACGAGATATATTTACAGGAATTTGGCCACCAATTAAATTGTTGCTCAGCTGCAAAATCTGCAGCCTTGGCAAACGGCCTATTTCTGGGGGAATTTCATTGCCAAAGCTATTGTTTTGAAGCAGTAATTCCCTCAGAAAGCTTAAATTCCCAAGGTGTGGTGATATCGATCCCACCAGTTCCCGGGGCTGTAAGTCCAAGGCAGTGACCCTCTGATGCCTGCGGCCACATGTAATGCCTTGCCATTGGCAGAAGTGGATAGAGTTATTCCAGGAGCTCAAAACATGCAGTGGGTCCTAAACTATTTTGGCCTTAATTGCTAGCAATGAAAGTCGGTCGGTCTCGTTCCCCATTAGCCCGGAGCTGGATGTGGTAGCAGTAAAGCCAGAGTTGAGAATGCTCAAACAAGATAAGAGTATTAGATGAATATGCAAATTGTGTACTAGCCATGACATGCTCAAGCTTAATCTTGGAAGCCCCATTGAATTGAGCAAAGAAATGTATGGCTGTGTTTTGGTGAATTACCTTTTTATGCCAATTATATTGCATGGCCGGCTAATGAGCATGCTGGCAAAACGGCCACTTCGACCTGCTAGATTTGGACTAATAAAATTTAACCCAGTTTTTTATTTTCATTTTTTTATTAGACCTCAATTAAATAGAGAGCCCCAACACTAAACTCAAAAACAAAACTACTTTTATTAGTAGAGGACCCCAATTACTTTACTTATTAAGTCCGAAAATAAAATTATTTTTTGTTAGCGGAGAGCCCAAAGTAATTGATTTTACTTTAACAAACTTATGTTCAATTCAATTCACCATTTTAAAATTGAACTTTCTTAGTTCTTGATATTCTCTGTAGATGCCTTCAGATTTTGTATTATTTCAACTTCTATTTCAATTGTTTGTTGACTTTACTTAAATATTAAAATCTCTAGAATTTGAATAGATTTTTGCTTATTGACTTCTGGATATATTGGATTGTTTATTTAATTATACTTCCTAGAAATTATTTATCTATATATGAAAAAGAAAAAAAAAATAGTAGAATTAATTCATTCTCAATAAAGAGCTTTTGATTTAATTTTTGCAATTAAAAATGCAAGAACAATAATGTTTAAGTGATGTTGTGGTACAAATAGTTCAATTTTACTTTGACGTTATAACCGTAGATTTTTGTGTAATATTTTCTTTGTGCATGTCTAAATGGTTAAAAATAAAACAGTACTAGATTTTATTTTTTAAAATTTTTATAATAATTTTTTAAATTAATTTTATCTTTTTATGTAATGTGTAAAAATATTAAGACTCCATATGGACTCTGAACACTCAGGACCGGCCTAGCACTTTAGTAATAATTATGAATATTTTTAATTTGTATCATTCATAAAGAACAAAGCAAAGAGACCCAAACATGTTATCATATATTTTTTTAATTAGAAAATGTGAATTTCAATAATTATTTGAAAGTGAGGTGGTTGAGGAGTTAAGGAGAAGAAAAATTATTAATCAACATCTTTAATTTAAAAAAAAAAGCCTTGTACCACTTGAGTGACACGTAATATGTGTATCCCTGCTTTTTTTTATTACTATTTATTGTTTTTATTTATTTGAATTGCACACGTATACCGCTACATATTGTGATATTAGTACTTTTTTTATTTATTTGAATTGCACACACAACTATATATATATATATATTGATTTGGAAAAGGATAAAAGTTGAAGATAAGGTTATATTTGTATTTGTAATTGCATTTCAACTTTGGTTCCGGGGAGAATCTATTTACACACACCACTCTCCCTCTATACACATCATTTACACACAACTTCCCAACACACTCTCTCATTAAGTGTGTGGGAAGAGGGGATAGGGTGTGTGCATATAGAAGCTCCCTTGGTTCCGTTTGCCAACAGCTCCATGAATGGTAAATTAATTTGCCTCTAATTAGACGGCTGATGTAAAAAATTCTTAATTAGGTAATAATAAAAATATTTAAAGTAATTTTTTATTTTGAAATACTTTTAATTTAAAATTTTCAACCAATCATGCTTGAGTGGGTTCAAGCCGGCCCATATACTATTTAATAACATTTAAAGTCATTTACCAAACTTTGCCCCTCCGGATTGGGCTTATGCTTTATTTCTGAATCCATCCAAAAACAAAATAAAAAATTTCAAATCCAGCCACATAGCCCAGATATTGTTTAATATAAATATCTTTTTCGTATTTTAAAATAGGTTATAATTAATTTAATTATTTGTGTGTCTCTTTAACCTATTCAAACAAAACTAGTAGTTCACATATTATAAATAATTGTTCACATAATTTAGTAATACATAATTTATGCTAATAAAAATAAAAATAAAAACAAAAAATATAAATATATATTGTATGTGGCTCTTTAATTTACAAGTTTCACTCTAATTCCATATTTAACTTTTGACTCTCTGATTTTTTTTTAATTTTTTTTTTTTTTTTGAGGAAAAAGGGGATTAGTCATTTTCAAAAATAATTTTTAATTATTTTATGCATTTTTTCATGTTCTAAATTGGACAACTGTGAGTACAATTTCTATTTAAACAATGGCATCCTTTGGGTTGCGGTGTGTTTTGAAATTGGCTTCTCTCCATTCTGTTATTAAATCGGATGGTGTTGTGCGGTCATTGTGGGCCTTGATTTGGACCTATTTTGATAATTTAAATCGTTCAATTTGTAAAGTTTGTTAGGTATGTTATTCTTATAAAAAATCATATTAATCTGATATCGATAGATATTTTATTAGATTTATTTCCATCAATGGTATATATAATTTTTAAATTGGTCTCGTTTGTCAATTATATATTTTAGCTAAAAAATAAAAAGTCACTATAAGTTGTCATATCACTTTCTCTATTTTTTTGTATATCTTTTCATAAAAAGTCAAAAAGTTACTAAAATAATATGTTCCCAAACAAGACTATTGTGACATAAATATGATGTGACCAAGTGGCTATTGATATCTGATCACAGTATTTTTTGTAAGGATGATGTAATCGACGTGCTCTACATATTGAACAGTTTGAATCATTAAAATTGGCCCGAATTAGGACCCAAAATGATCTAACAGTACCCTTTAGTCCAATAAAGGATTGGAGAGAAGCCAACTTCTTCTTCTTCTTTTTTTTTAATTAAAAATTCAAAATATCCAATCACATTATTTTTATAGTCAATTCTCAAATGATCCAACATATTGATTTCTTTATACTCTTTTTTTTTTCTTTTGAAATAGCTTATGTCAAGTCAACATGTGGATTGAGGAGTGTTATTTGTCGTTCAATTTGTAAAGTTTGTTAGGTATGTTATTCTTATAAAAAATCATATTAATCTGATATCGATAGATATTTTATTAGATTTATTTCCATCAATGGTATATATAATTTTTAAATTGGTCTCGTTTGTCAATTATATATTTTAGCTAAAAAATAAAAAAGTCGCTATAAGTTGTCATATCACTTTCTCTATTTTTCTGTATATCTTTTCATGAAAAGTCAAAAAGTTACTAAAATAATATGTTCCCAAACAAGACTATTGTGACATAAATATGATGTGACCAAGTGGCTATTGATATCTGATCACAGTATTTTTTGTAAGGATGATGTAATCGACGTGCTCTACATATTGAACAGTTTGAATCATTAAAATTGGCCCGAATTAGGACCCAAAATGATCTAACAGTACCCTTTAGTCCAATAAAGGATTGGAGAGAAGCCAATTTCTTTTTTTTTTTTTTTGGGTGGCTAAAATAATCAAAAATTCAAAATATCCAATCACATTATTTTTATAGTCAATTCTCAAATGATCCAACATATTGATTTCTTTATACTTTTTTTTTTTCTTTTGAAATAGCTTATGTCAAGTCAACATGTGGATTGAGGAGTGTTATTTGGGCTAGTATAATTTAATAGGAGTCTTTATTTAATCCTTTAAAGTCCCTTCGAGTGAATTGTGATCATTTTAATTTTATATTTGTAATGAAAATGTTTTATTCCATCGTCCAACAGGGAATGTAGTGATATTTTCTAATTTAAATTAATTATAAATTTGTATATATATTTCATAGTCATTAGATATATGATGAAAATCTTCTATTACATATATGAAACGGAGAGTATCAAAGTGCCATTCAGGTCTACATTTCGATTGGACATCAACCTAATCCATTTTCTTTTTATACTCAACTAAAAAATTTAAAATAAATATTTTATCATTTTCCACCCTTTAACATTTCGAATTTATCCTCATTCCTAACCTGAATCTTCTCTTTCCACACCCACTTCTTCTTCACTCATTTTCTTCATTCTTTTGTGGCCAATTGTGGCAATTTTTTCCTTTCTCCTCCCTTTTGTTTCTCTCCTCCCATATCTTAGTGTTACAAAGGGTGGGGCTAAGGTTTTGCAAAGCTTAAAGATGTCGAGTAGGGCAGGCAAAAAAAGAAAAGGGCACATTGGACAAAGAAGAGCAAGCAGGGAATATTAAGGAGAAGAATGAAGGGCTAGGGCATGGGTGGAAATGGGGTAATAATTAGTGGCCGAGCATGGGTAACAGTACTAGTGGTAAGTTGGGGGAGGTGGTGGGGAAGACGATAAGTAAATTGAGAAGTTATGATTTTAAAATTTTGAAATTTAAGTGATTTTAAATAGGGATAAAATTACAATAAATAAATAAAAAATAAAAAATAAAGTCAGTAAAGAGATGAGTTTATGGTGTAAATAAAATCAAAGTGTACAAATTATGTCTTCCAACTGAAATTCATTTATAATAAATTATGTGCGACGAATAAAAAAAAAAATTATTTCTTTTTTGACAGGTGAATTAATCCCACCCTTGACATTGCATGTTAGGATAAACTATAACACTCTACTTGTTTGGAATGCTTCTCCTAGGACAATCATTTCTTTCTTTGTTAATTTCCCTTTTTTTATTTTTTATTTTTAATTTTTTTTTGTAAAGCAGAATAATCAATTCAACATGAAATACTTTCTCTTTTTTTTAATATTTATTTTATTTTATAATTTTTAAAAACAACATTAAATAAAAACAGGGAAATTATATGGCAATGCTTGACAAGAATTGTACTTATAATTTGTATCTTTCAAATAAGGACGTGGCATATTTCCCGCCAAAGCTGCTAGCCACTTTTTTTCTAATTAATCTGAAGCAGCCATAAACAAATCAACATTCTCTATGTTTCTAACAAGAAATTTTAATAAAGAATTGACATTTACACTTCAAATTAGTTGTAGAGAAAAGAACAATTTGCATCTACATTTGATCAGAGTTGCCTTCCAAAAGCTCCTCAACTTCTTCTTAGCCTCCTCAAACAGGTTACAGCACCTCAACCTCGGCCGCTGATAGTGATCTCTGCAATCAATCCCAGCAGTGAAGCACACAACAATGGCGGTGAGATTGTCACTCGCATTCAAGCGCACCGCTTCATTTAACAAGCTCGCTGGCACACTGCTGTGGATCATTACAACGCCTCAGCCCACCACGAACTAATCTGACTGCATCCTGGTTCGACATCACGTCCCAGACTCCATCGCACGCCACAATCAAGAACTCATTGTCCTCCATTAACACAGTGTGTTGAAATTCTGGCTCGGCAATCAGAGGTGACGAAGAACCAGTCAGGAAGGAAAATGTCTCGTAGCTCAAATTTTGTGGCTCAAAAGTGGCTCAAATGGCCAAAACGACGTCGTTTTGGCCATTTGAGCCACTTTTGAGCCACAAAATTTGAGCTACGAGACATTTTCCTTCCTGACTGGTTCTTCGTCACCTCTGATTGCCGAGCCAGAATTTCAACACACTGTGTTAATGGAGGACAATGAGTTCTTGATTGTGGCGTGCGATGGAGTCTGGGACGTGATGTCGAACCAGGATGCAGTCAGATTAGTTCGTGGTGGGCTGAGGCGTTGTAATGATCCACAGCAGTGTGCCAGCGAGCTTGTTAAATGAAGCGGTGCGCTTGAATGCGAGTGACAATCTCACCGCCATTGTTGTGTGCTTCACTGCTGGGATTGATTGCAGAGATCACTCCATTAAAAGGCTCAATCATGAAACTTGCGCCTTTTCCTGCCATTGTAAATTTCTTCCCTTTTTAAAGAAATTCTGATTTAAGAATCTGACCGTACGGATGGGTCTGAAATATTCCAAATAGTTGGAACGCACTATTGGATCGCCAAAAAACGGACTCCGAATGGCCTAGATCTAGCCAAAAGAGTTTGAATGCTTCCGATTCAAAAACTAACCGTACGGATGTGTCCGGAATACTCCAAATAGTTGGAACTCACTATTGGATCGCCAAAAACGGACTCCGAATCAAATGGCTTAGATGAAACCAAAACAATATTAACGGTTCAGATCGGCAGAATCTGGTGCGCTTGCGAAGCACCAGATTACTCCTCCGGTTCTGCTGACGTCAGGCTGACGTCATCGGCTCAGTTAGCGGCTTGGTCAGCGGCTCCAGCTCGGTCAACGCGGCTCCGGCTCCGGCGGCTTGGTGCGCGCGTGCGGCGCGTGTCGCGCGTGAAATCACGCGTCTTCTTCCTTCGTCCGCGCGTGGAGCGCGTGGGTGAGACTGGGACCACGCGCCGGGTGTCGGAACGGCGCGTGTGGGCGCGTGATGAGACTGGGAGTCACGCGCAAGCTTCTAGAGGCGCGTGAGGGCGCGTGAAAGCTCCGATTGGCCTGTGGTTTGAAGTTTTGGACTCCTCTCCTCCTGACCTTCCTCTTGGTATGCTCAAAAGTGGATTTCGACCACTTCGAAATCTGGACACTTTCGGAAAAAACTCGATTTTTCTCCACCCGGGCTCTGATACCAATTGTTGCGGATCTTGGGCACACCAGGGGACACTCACAAGCAAAAACACAAGACTTTTAACGTGGTTCGGCAAACCGGCCTACGTCCACGGGAGCGATGTTGTTATATATCAACAAATGGAGGAGATTACACACTCTCAACTCACTGTCTCTCTATATAACACACTCTCTCAGCTATGATGCCCTGTATTCAACTCTCCTTAGCTTCTCTATATATAGAGATTACAAAGACAAGAGGCACCCTTTGAAATGAGCTGGCTGCCAGCCCATTTCGGTGGCTTTCCAGATTGCTTCATGGCCTCATGGCCTCATGGCCTCATGGCCAACTCACATGGCTTCCCCACCATGTAGCTGGCTCCTACTTTCCTTCACATGGCCAGAATCTCTGTAGCCAACTCAACTTGGGTTGATCTCCTACATTTTGTATAATTCTGTTTGAGATAAGACGATGCAGCGTTGGAACCGCCGTGTCCATCGAAGACGGCGTAGAAAGAAGTCGGCGATGGAGAGAGGAAGAGAGAGGGTAATTGGGTGGAGAGATGGTCGATTTGGATGTGTTCATCTTCATTGAATTGACGGTGTCCTTTGTCTGTGTGGCTACCAGAACGAATGGATGGAACAAACTCAGTACTCGCAACAACCGACTCAGACTCGGAGAAGAAGGGCTTTTCAACGGGTAGGATGGGGGTTTTGGGAATGGAGAGGTGATGAACACCGAGAATGGACATCTCTGCTTCAGACACCATGCTCTCACTACTCACAATCATCACACACTAAACTGAACGATTGCTTCAATTGATTCAATCTTCTTCTTCTTCTAAAGCTCAATGATTTTAGATGTAGACGGAGAAAAGAGAGAGTACGGGTATTCAGAGAATTAGGGTTTTGTATGGCAAAAATAAGCAAATTATTACAGATATAAAAGAGCAGAGTTGCAGTTATATAGATATGGGTTTTCCAGAATTTGGAGTTGATTTGGATTTGTATTTGTATTTTGTCTGCGGAACTTGGAGAGGAAGGTACTTTGGACGCTTTGCTTTTCAAGTCCACCAACCACTTCCCAAAACCCAAAACAGACTTTTTTGAGTATCCTAGAAATTATTTGAGATAAATTAAATAAGTACACCTTTTAATTTTTTATGAAATACAAATTGAGTATGGGTATGGGTTGGATTTGAAATGATGTGGTAGAGAGGTGATGCGACTTAAATAAGATGATGTGACTTAAATAGGATAGTGACTTTTTGACTCTTTTTGATTATGCCAAACTAAGCCTAAGAGCATCTCCAGAAGCCTCTTTATTCCTCCATTTTTGTTACTATAGCTAGCTAAAACCAGAAAATTCATCTCCAGCAGCCTCGTCGGTGGCTAGCTACTTTGATTTTCTACTACAGTACCTCGCCAGAGAAGACGAGGCACTGTTCAGTAGCCTCTCAAATTTTTAGGAAACTTTTTAGTGGATATTCTGATCCATGAAAGAATGAGAATGGATTGAGAGTATGGATTGAGAAGTGCTACTTTCATGGGAATTCTAAACAATTTGTAGAAATCGTGGATGCGAATCGAAAACAAACACTCTTGTTTTGGTGCTCGATGGAGGGGGTTGGTTGTGCCTATGAGTGTGGTGATGGTCTTCATCAGTTTTGCAAAGAGGGGTAGCGATGCTTTTCAAGACCGGCAAGGTGTTTGACAAAATGCCCCAACGATGAAATGGCCACCACGGTTACACCTTGACAACTCTTCTTTGTTATTCTTTATTACCACCATCACTGTCCCATGTAGTTGTGCGGTTTTAAGAGATGTCCACAAGGTGTTCGATGAAATGCTCTAAATTGTGGGAAGTGCCACATTTTTGTATTAATTCTGTGCTTATATTTATTAATATTTTAAAGGAAATAGTTAAAGTAGAGAGTGTTGTTGGAATGTGTCTTGAAAAAATGGTTAGCTAAACTAATAAAGTGAAACTTTGGGTAGCTAATATGAGGATGGTTGCTGGAGATGCTCTAAGATGGAGCATACACACTGGATGTATTGGTTTATTTTTTAGTGTCATTAATTTTTGGCTAGCACAAAACTACAATAGAGCTGCTCACTTGTGTGTTAGTGTCAGCCATTAGTTTTGTATGTTAACTATGTCTAGCGTTTTACCCAGCGAGTGGGAGAAAGAGAAAGAGGTAGACACTGGGAAGAGAGAGTGGGGTTGTTTGGCCAGATGTCTGGTCGGTCGTCCGATCGGACATCCGGATCTTGCTAAGCCTCTGAATGCATTTGTGAAGAAGAGAGAGAGAGAGAGAGAGAAAAGAAAGTAGAGATAAAGAGAGAGACGCTGATAATTTTATATTTTATTTATTATGTATATATATATTCTTAATATTCACCTTAACATATCCATTGCATCACCACTCACTTTCTAAAATTAACAACTTTTAACACACCTTAACACACATTTTTAAGTTCCACTTTTTATCATATAATACATTTTAACACACTTTTTTAACTATCACATTGTAGATGCTCTAACTCGTACCTTCACCACACATCTTATCATTATTTTAATGTTCCAACAATTCTTTGGATTCAACATTTAAAAAAAAAAAAATCTTAAAAAAAAGCCTTCTATTTGCACAATAAAAAATCTCCTTCCAATCTTTTATTTTTTTGTTATAATTTTATCTCTATTCAAAATTTAAAAAGGGATAAATTACAAGGGGGGATTTGGTTAAAATCCTTCATAATAAAATTTTAATGCATTAAAGATAAGTATAAAAAAATTTTCTTGTAAAGTCGAGTACATATCACTATTATCAAAAATTAAACTTTAAAATAATATAACTTTTGATTTAAATGTCAATTTTTAATAAAATTTTTATTTTAAAATCATCTCATCAAAATTTATCAAATAAGATCTATGCTGATTATGAAATTCCTAAAATAAAAAAAAAATTATTACCTTCGAAATTGATGTAAACAGTAACATGTTACTCTGGCAATATTGTCCAAGAAAAAAAAAGATATTTTAATTTGTCCTTGCTTAATTATGCGTCATTCTTAGGGGATTTATGAAGTAAAATAAATTAGGTTGTCTTTTTCATCAAATAAGATCCAATAGAGGAGTTTGGCTAAATTTTCCAAATTACAAATACATTCACGAAAATGTATTTTGAAAATTATATATTGCCCTTTCAAGTTTCTAATCACATAATAAATGACTTATTTTATTAATAAATTATTAAGTAAATTAATATTTTTTAATGACATCAAAATATATTTTAATTAACAATTCAAATATTTAATATTTGTATAGAATAGTAGTGGTTAACAGTTTAAGGATATTAGAGCTCTCTCTGGTTGTTTGGATTATCTAAAGATTGTTAAGGTTCCTATGTTGCGGCTGCACACCTGAAAGCCAAAGGTGCTGCGGGGTAATTGTTAATTGTATTTACTCTGTTATACATGTATATATATGTACGTATTTATGAGTCTTTTCTATAAAAAAAATATTTTTTTTTATTAATTCTATTAATAAAATTTTTTGATTAAGAGGCATTTGTAATTTTCAAAATCATAAGGGAAAATTCATATTTTAAACAAATTTTAGAAGTTATATTTGCATTTTACACTTAAAAAAAATACCAAACTCTAAAAAAGTAAA